TGCTTTTCTATTCCTAAATGCTCTTGTACAGAAAAACAAGCTTAATAATCCCTAAATAGATCAAAGGCTTTACAATTTAGAGCAAGCTTTTAAAAATTGCATAAGATAAAATATTTTTCAAGCCTACCACAGATAAGTACATTACATTATCCTTCTCATGTAGCAAAACAAAGAAAAAAATCACATCTCTGAAAACAATCTAGTGATTTCCCTCCATCAAGAGTTTCAGAACTGTTTTATTGAATAATTCTGACTCTCCGCCTTGCCTGTGACAACAATTAATCTCATTACCCTGATTATTTATTCGTTGCTTAGTGAAATAAAATATACTAACACTATATATGTTTTTGGCCTTGCTCTAATACACCTGGTTTGTTTTATAGAGTCTATATTCTCCTTCCCAAAATATTAAGATGTTACGTTAAACAAAATACAACACAAACTCCAAAAAAGAAATAGGAAACTCTTTTACACAGTGGCCAACAGTATTAAATCAAGGGTTTTTATGACAGAGAAAGGACTGGCCCAAACATTGCCAAGTTTACCTTTGGCATTTGCCCAATTCTCCTTTTTTTTTTTTCACTCCTCTCCTAAGTTTCGTTTCTCCTCTGCCCCGGGCCCAGGTATCCAGAGCCCTCATGCTACCCTTCAGATGTCAAGGGGGAGCCCACTTCCACACTTTCAGCTTAGGCTTGCCTTACACTGAAGAACCCCAGGGACTAAATTACTTCTCTCTCTCTTCCTGACCCTCATCAAAACTTCCATTAACTGGAGGAAAGCAATTTAATTAAACTAAGCCACATTGGACTGTGAATGATTGATTAATAGACTACTTAACCCGCCCTGGGATACTTTTTTTTTTTTTTAATAAGAAGACACCGTAATGTAAGTGAATCTGGAATAGGCAGAATTTTAAACAGTTCCAAAAAGTAAAGAGAAATATATGGGCTTCATTCAGGGAGATGTGTTTTGATAGAAGGGCCTTTTGAGGATCTCTTAAAATTATCCCTGTTGGTGGCCAGTACTCAGCCTCCATTCCTAACTAGGAGAATAAAGCATTGACTGAAATGCCCTTTTCTAGTTTTATAAGTGATCAGGAAAGTACTCTCAAAGGAAGGCATTTGACTTTGAAACGGACTTCAGAAGTCAAAGTATGGTTTATTACTCCTCTGGGTGAACTGAGAAATATAAATGCTTCTTTTAACTTGAAGTCAAATTTCTAAGAGCCATCCTCAAATATCAATTATCAATAGGACAAAGGGTAAATCCTTTATTGTGTTGAAGTGACCCTAAAGATATCCTTTTTAGATTCATTACATGTTTTTAACTTTTAATTGGAGGATGCAAATGAGCACCAGAAATACATGATATATAACCCCATGTTGCAAAGATGCAAATGAGAACATAAAGAAAAAGGAGGCCTCCAAGCTTCATACTAAAGTTCATTCTTTCATCTCATCAGTTCCACCTTCTGCCTTACACACACACACACATACACACACACACACGCACACGCTCCTTCAGTGAGAGCAAAACCCCTATTCCTCAAACAGTATTGACAGAGTATCCTCTTAAAATTTAGCTACATATCATCTAACCATTTTGGAATAATATTGATAATTAAAATGCTCACATATCCTCGGTGGTAAAATAGACTAGAAGTAATTACAACTAACTTCTTGCTTTGATTGGCCATGCATTATTTTTTCTGCCTTATCCCCAGGCAGAAAATGCAGAGAACTGTTTATGGTTTGCCTCTTGTTTGAGACACATAAATTGAAGTGAATCCTCTGCTCTGGCTAATTACAAATTTTGTTCTCCCCAGATCATGACACATGCCTCTGTGGTCATGATAAAAGCTTCTAGTATTTCACTCTGTTGTAATAATTACAAAAAAAATCAAAATCTATTCCTGGTTATCAGTCAATTATATTAATATCTCAGATTTCTAAGCATCTTGTCAGACCATACTTAGTCCTTGATAAAATTTTCCACTGTATTAAAAGATATACTTAGCCCATGGTGGACTTTTTCACTGCACTGAAAGATCACACTTCATCTTAATTTTCAAAAGTTACATGGGGAGTGGGGTACTGGATAGAAAGTTATTATATGCAAGAAAGGCTTCTTAGTTGTGGTATCTGTACTTCAAAGGAAAAAAAATGTTTAATTATTGTTTTTCTTTTAACTCAAAAACAATAAATCTCTCTTCTCAGCTAAGTAAACTTTCTACATATTCTGGTGCACCGTGAACTTAAAATCTGGCTTCTGAAAGAAACTAAATTTCTGACTCAAACATACATCAAAGGGTATTCCAAGGTAATGTAAGATATTGAACAAACAGGTGTAATTTGGCTTTCTTTTTAAAAAAAATTGTGATCTGGAAAGAATGGGAAGAACAGTAGATGACACAATGGTGACTTCATTTTGAAAGCTAGAAAGTAGGTGGATTAAAAAGTAACTGAATTACTCAACCCAACAAAGCTCAATCTTAAGTGGGTAGGGAGAAAAGTCAACTATTGACTAGTTGTACAAGAGAGTCCCCAAAACACCCAGAAAGTGGCAATACCAGTTTCTCTAGAACTGAGAGTAGAGATGGGTAGGGAGATAGAAAACTAAAATACAGAGGGTGGAATAAAAGTTATTTGAGAAATGGCTGGATACCTAGATGTCTTCTCCTACTCTACTTAAATTACTAGAATTTTGTGTTAATCCAAGTATCTTCATAAAGAAATGGAACAACTGAACCATCCATCAAAAAGAAATGCCCCTAAAGAGCTCTTTCATTGTTTAGTCCAGAACAATGTCATTTCATTAGAAAAAGCCAATGGGACCAGCAAGTACCAAAATTATTATTTTGCCATCTTTAACACAGACTGCCTCTTGGATTTTCTCACAACTTGATAAAGTACAAAACCTGCTCTGATCCATTTATAGAATCCCAAAGCTTCATTACAAACATCCCAAGATTTGGAAATCTGCAGTTCATTAGGAGCATGCTGAGATCCAGGGCTTCAGGAAGGAGTTGGCTAAATGATAGGATCAGCTGAAAACAATCTTCCGAATTGTTTTAAATTTCTAAAAATAAGCAAGAGACTCTCCTGATAAGCTTGAGATACCAAAAATCAAGTGGAATGTAGGTTTTAGGTTCTTTAATACTTGTGAGAATAAAACCTGTGCACACTACCAGTTTTCTCAGATATAGAGAATTATGTCTTAAAATTAGAAGACGTGAGGAGATCCAAGATGGCAGAACAGAGGAGGCGGTCATGTTCCTGGCTGCTCCATGGCGTGAAACCAGGAAAGCAGACAGATGGGTGAGCAAGACATTCCAAGAGGAAATATTGAAGTGCAAATTCCCATCAGATACTGGTCAAGTAATCTCATTTCAAACAATAATTTATGTTGGTAGTTCCTTATTAAAAATCACATTGGAGACTTGTAACTTCCTCCCCTTGAAAACATATAATTAGTCATGCTGTATTGGAAACAGTTCTAGAAAATGACTTCTTACCATCAGAATTGTTTTCACAGTCTGTTCTGAAACAGTCTTTATCAAGCTGATTATCTTAATTAAGTCTATATGATAATTACTTCAAGATGGACAAGGTGGTCTATGTACATTTAATCACCCTAAAAGAATACACTGATATTTTTATTATATTTTCAGGACTGACATTCTTAGTATGTTTTCAGAATTCATATTTTCAGTATGTTTTCAGAATTCCATTAACAACTTTTTCATAACAATTGGCAATTATCAATCAGGTGCCCAGAAAGATTATTCCAAAATCACCATTCACCTCTATTCCATCTCACTTAGGAAGAGTTAAGAATAATTCCTCTGAATAATTTCTTTGATCTATCTCTTGGGTCTATCATTAGCATTTGACCCAAAGGACAGAGACTATCAAGAGTGAAAAACGTATAATGCTGACAAAGAGCCTTCATATTACCCCTTTGGAATATAAATTATATACAAGCTAAATGTCTATGACTTTTCCAATGTCACATTTAATCTCTAATTCAGTCTAAAGAGATTAAGTTTGTCCAAGAGCACTCTAAAAATCTACCTTTAAACAACATGATTTAGTGACTATTTATTTTAGGGAAAAAAAATGACAAGAGAATATCCCATTCTTTGAAATGGGCACGATTTTATTATATCCTATAAGAAATCTCTAAAAGAAGTGGCCTTTGCTGACAATAGTCATTAACATGTGAGCAATAGTACTAACATATATTTAATCTGGCAAAATATTTCAATCATTAAAAAGAATATTTAAGTAGCCCAAATAAGAAAATCAACTCACAAAACTAGATGGAAGCAGAATATAATTCGGGGTGCATGACAGTTACAATGACAGTTAAAATACGACATCAACCAAAGGGACTTTGATTTATATAGGCAATGAGGTAAATTAGTAACCTCCACCTTAATTTTTTCATTCTAAAGTAATTTGCTTTTCTTCCTATACAGCATAGAATACTAAGAGCTAATGGACAACATTCTCATATCCTTGTAAAACAGAAAACATTGTCAAGATATAACTAACTATCTATCTATCTATAGATAAATGATAGGTAGATAAAAGAAAGAAAGAAATGTTACCTTAATGTCTATAAGCAAAAACTCCGTAAACATAATGTTTTCAGATTCTAAGAGGAAAAATCACATAGTTTTCCATGAGAAGAAAGGTGTGCTTTAAAGAAAGTTTTGAGGCCTTTTTAAGAAAACAAATTATGAGCCGGGTGCAGTGGCACACATCTATAGTACCAGCTACTGAGGAAACTGAGGCCCGCCCAAGCAGTTTAGCCAGACTATATCTCAAAATAAAAATCTCTTAAAGGGCTGGAAATGTAGTTCAGCAGGATAGTGCCTGCCTAGCGTGTGCCAAGCCCTGGATTCAACTCCTAGTATCCACAAAAAAATAAAAAGTAAATAAATAAAAAACCAGATTATGAATAACTACTAAAGCCAATTAATACTACTTACTTACCTTTTTGTCTTAGCTCCAACAGAACTTCCAGAAACAAATTCAATTCCCCGAAATCATAATGATCTCAATTGTTTAAGAGTATCTAAGCATGACCTTTAATTTTTTTTAATCTTTAATTATCCAACTTTACATTGTCTTAATTTTTAAGACCAATTCCAAATAAGTCACAAAAATTTCAAATAGTTTTCTCTTTCCAACCTTAGGCTACGTCTTAATCTCACATATGCCTGTCTTCATTGGGCACCCAAAGAATTCTAGAATTGGAACATTTCTTTGTGATGCATTAGATGATAGATAACAATCCCACTGCCTTTAATGAGAGTTCTCCTATTCCAGAGTTCAGCTCTATTCCAGGCTGGTCTCCCTTGTGAGGAGCACCCAACTTGGCCACAGAGCACAGTAAAAAATAACCAAGACTCTACTTTTTTTTCAATTTTTTTTTAGTTGTAGATGGACACAATATCTTTATTTTGTTTATTTATTTTTATGTGGTGCTGAGGATCGAACCCAGTGCGTCACACGTTCAAGCAATCACTCTACTGCTGAGCCACAACCCAGCCCCAAGACTCTACTTTTAACATGTAAGACCTAAAAGAACCAGAAAACAGTTTGACTGGAGGACGACCCTTATTTCTTCTTATTTCTTAAAATATTTAGCACTGCATAATCGTATAAAACCATAGTTGTCCATGCATGATTAAAAACTAAAGTACTTACAAATGTTAAGGACTATATCACCTCAAAAGACTTGATAATTCTCCAAGCTGTATTAAAATATAACACCAAACAGTCCAGTGTTCACAGTGCCCTCTCTGGTTTAAACTTGCAAGACTTAGCTCTGCTAGACTTAACTCTGCAAGTGGATTAAATAATGCAATTTGCACTTCATTTAATAGACAAGCTGTGACGTCTTCAATATGGACACCTTGTTGTTGGTCACTCTTCTCTCTTTCCAGTATTGTTACTATGTAGCAGTGATAATTAGGGGTGCATTCACCCAATCACCCCAGGGAAACTTGGCAATACCCAGTATTATGGTTTGGACATGAGTTGTCCCCAAAAAGTTCCTGTGCTAATCCACGAATGTTCAGAAGTGAAAGGATTAGATAATGAGAGCTGTGACCTAATCAGTGGATTGATATATTTGATAGGTGAAGAATTTTAGTGTACTACCTGGATGGTAAGTGTAGGCAGGTGAGGCTTGGCTGGAGGAGGTGGGTCAACATGGGAGGTGTGCCTTGGGGATTATCTGTTTTGTCCCTGGCTTCTTGCACTCACTCTCTCTGATTCCTGACTGATAAAAGCTGAGCAGCTTTCTTCCACCACATCTTCCACCATGATGTTCTTCCTCAACTTAGGCCAGAAAAATTTTAAATCTCTGACTTAATTTAAAATTAAGTCAGAAAACTATGAACTGAAACCTCTGAAAGCATGAGGCCAACGTAGACTTTTACTCCTCTGAGTTGTTCTCGTTCAGCTATGGAAAGCCCACTAGTACACCTGGATAAGGTTTGTTTGTTTGTTTTGGGGGGTACTAGGGATTAAACTCAGAGATACTCAGCCACTGAGCCACATCCCCAGCACTATTTTGTATTTTAGTTAGAGACAGGGTCTCACGGAGTTGCTAAGCAAGCACCTGGCCATTGGTGAGTTTTGGCTTTGAACTTGCAATTCACCTGTCTCAGCCTCCGGAGCCACTGGGATTACAGGCATGTCGGGCCTTGGATGCGGTTTTGACAACCAAAACCAGTGGTAGTGCTCCAGGTGCCTAGTGGACAGAAGCCAGCAATGATGCAAAACACCCTTGCCCCAGACAACAAAGTATCCAGTCCAAAATCACAATACTGTGGAGGTCGAGAAACTCAAAGAACTAACACCCCAAAGCTCCTACTAACATATTATGCCTTGGGTTGCAATAATGAGGGAGGAGAGAAGGCTTGGACTAACATAAAACTGCCTCTATGGTCAGCCTAACTCTGGAACTTATTGTACATTTCGGAACTCAAAGCCCATCTTCATTAAGCTTTTACTCTAGTGGCACTCTTTCTTTTAAAAATAGTCTTCACCGTGCCAGACTAGAGTCAAGCTCAACAGGGTCTTCTTTCCCCACTGATTCAGCCAAGCCCCTTCCCTTGGCTGTGGTTTCACTAGATAGTAGGTAGGGACAGTGGGAATCTCATTCATCTATTCAAGTGCATCACTAATTAGATGACGAGGCATTCTTTATAAATGAATTCTATATACAAAGGCCCAAAAGTTTCAACTGTTTGAATTAAGAGTAATGTAAACAACATAAAGTATTTCTTTTTATTAAAATAAAAGAATTTGTCTAAATTCAGGAAAAAAAATATTCTTGATGCCATTCCAGACCAATAATAGAAAACTCTGTACAATTAAAATTATCTGTAATTTTTAATAAAAGCACTCAGGGCCATATGTCTATTTTTAAGAAAAGCTCAAAGGAAGATAAACAGAATACATATTATCAGTCACTGGTTCTTCAGTGTCCTCTATTTAAACCATTTAATTTTTACCCCTCAAATGAATCTGATTGTTCACTAATAATTTCCTGTTTTTAGCAGTTCTCTGAAACCTCAACCCCATTCATGAAGGGAGATGATCTAAAATGCAAATGACGTGTCCTTGCTATGTTTAAAACTATGAGCATCACAATTGAAATATCAGAAGCCAAACTGCTCTGATCAGATGCTTCCTATGAAATATGAAATACTTAAATCAACTTTAAGCTATGCCTCAAATTTATATGCTTCCAAGCCATTCAAATATAAAACAAGCACTAACAAATGGGCAACCTTGTCCACTGCAAGGCTAATAAATCAAAACCACCAAGGTAAGTTAACTGCATTTTCAGTGGGCGCAGATTTATCATCAAAGGCCTGATAATCATGCAACCGCTAGAAAAAGCAATGTGTTTTCCATGACCTTGGTCATAATTTACCAACACTGACTTGTAACTTTTCAATATTATATCACTCTAGGGACACTCTAAAAAAGATTTCAGGAATCCTGGACTTCTGAATGAACACAGATATATTCTTCTGGTTTTGTAAATATTTGTGACCCGCAGAATAGAGTGATGGATCAGAAAACTGAAGAAGGGCAAGACTTGAGTGTCTTGGAAATTTTCTGAAAACGCAAAGCTGGCTAGCAACCAGGTTAGCTCAAATGCAGAAGCCTCCAAGTTTTCACCTTTTGAGCAATTACTAAACTGCTTGCATCTGGCAATTTATTTTAGTTCAACTCTTCTTACCAAACTGGTAATAAAACAAGAAGGAATGTCATCGAGGTTGAAATAAAGTCAGAAAAGCTTTGAGCATTCCATTTTCTAGGTAGTTTTATTTAGCTCTTCATCAGTGGGAAAAGACCAGACTGCCAGGTATTTCCAAGAAAAGCCAAGTAGTTAAAGATGTTGGTTAAGTTTTCAGGCTTTTCAGAGATTAACAGGAATTACAGCAAATCCCCAAAAGAACATAAGAAACAAATTGTTGCAACAATGGGCAAGAAGTCCAGGTGTATTTACCAAACTCATATCTTCACTCCCAAATTTACAATGAATGAATTTACCATGAAGAACAGAAATAATATCATAGTTTTTAAACATTTAAATGCATGCTTTTTTTACCTCAAGACAAAAGGCCAAGTTCCCAGAGGATAAAATATTTAAAAGTTTCACTATTTGAAGAATTACATAAAATCAAAAACCTGAATTAGAATCCTGACTGGTACCCTTCCTAGATGTGTTAGCTGTATAACCACTCAAACCGTCTGGATTTTCTTCTTCTAGTTACTTGTTTGTTTGTTTGTTGAACTTTGGTTTGGGTTTTGAACTATAAAATATAGATTCTAAAATCTATCATCCAGAAGGATTGCATGGGCTTATGTATGTTGTTGAAAGAAGTTTATGACATCGATTATTAATTCTGACTTTTAAAAGGCTGTGGAAGTCATTATATCAGAAGGCAAAGACAAAGACTGGGCAGGTGCCCCACACATCTTGCTATCATGGGTTCTGAAAATAGTCCAGAGTGACCATTGTGGAATTTTTCTGATATGTGGAAAATTACTTCATAGGAAAACTCAATTCTAATAATAGCTAATATGTCAGATACAACAATCCAGTTGAGGTGGTTCTATGATTATCTATTAGTATTTCTATCCTACAACTGCAGGAATCAGAAGTCAAAGATATGAAGGCATTTCCCCAAGTTACAGACAGCAAATGGCAGGCATAGGGGTTGGCAGTGTATCAGAACCAAAAGCAAGTGCAAAAGCAGACGGCAGTGGGCAGAGAATGGATTCTGCCTGAAATGAGTCCTAGACACTAGGTTATCTTTCTTTAATCCACTGCAAATATATATATATATGGAACATATATGTATGTGTGTGTGTGTGTATATATATATATATATATATATATATATGTATACATGCATACATATATATGAAGGACAGTAAATAATCCAAAAATATCAACAGATAATGAGGACCTAAGTAGATAATAAAAGGATGATTTCAAAATAAATGGAAACAAATTATAAAATAATTGAGACAATAACTTCCATTTGGGAAAAGTATTCTACCTCATATCATAACACACAAGATAAACAACACAAATAAACTCCACAGAAAAATAAACTTTTATATATAAATGTCCAATTGCTTCTTTTCAAAATTAGAATACTTCCTTTCAGCTTGAGACTATTGTAAGCATGACTTAAAATCCAGAAATCATACAGAAAAAAATTTTTAAAAGATTTCACATTTAGGAGCTGGGGTTGGGGCTCAGCAGTAGAGCGCTCGCCTAGCATAAGCAAGGTGCTGGGTTCGATCCTCAGCATCACATAAAAATAAATAAAAGGTATTATGTCCAACCACAACTAAAATAAAATAAAATAAAATAAAAGATTTCACATTTAAAGTTATAACTTTTGCTCAAGGAAATACATCATAATGTTAAAAGAAATAAAATCATTGAGAAAACTATCTGCAGCACATATAACAAAAAGCCAATATCTTTAACCACTATCAAATACTGCTGAACCATTAAGAGGGTTTAAAAGAATCAAAAGACATACAGACAATTCATGAAATAAATGCAAATGGCCAGTAACTTAAAGACCCTCAAACTCACTAATAACAAAAAGATAACAAAGCAATACTCATAATTTTTACTCACCCTGTCTAAAAAGTCAATATGACTATTTATGT